GAATCAGGGCCCCCGGGGTTAGGGTGGGGCCACAATGGGGGATCAGATTTTTACAAATGAATATATAGGCTAAAATCTTCTGCTCAAGACAGGGATGGGGTAATCGTAATCGAGTAATTGTAATTGATTGTAATGATTACTTTTTTGCAAGTAATCGGCAGTAATCTGTAATCGAAGAGATTTTCGATTATTTGTAATCGTAATTTAATCGATTACAGCTAAAATTTTTGATGTAATTATAATTTGATTTTGTTTGTATTCTAGCCTCTGATTGGTTAATATCCAAAAAGGAACGCAAATTATTTCTGTATAACCTGGTTTGGGACACACCCCCCTGACAACCAGCTGAATTATCTGTATCCATACAAACCTCTCATTTCCAGTCCTCGGGATTCATGGAAAATTCCAGATTTAATAAATGTACCTTTAACTTCAAACAATAATTCGATCTTACCACATGTAAACAAACAACAAGGCTGCCAGGCCTTTTTATCAGTTTTTACCTCCCCTCGCTTCCCATCACTTCCGTTACTTCCGTTATTACGGTTGTATTATTGAGCGGCAAATTTGAACTAATAAAAAGCAACGAAGTTTTACACCCATAGTTATTTAATGATTTTAAAATTAAATTATAAGGAATGACTCTAATTCTTGGCGTAAACTGACCCAAACCAGGTTATACTCGAATAATTTGGCCAAGAATTAGAGTCATTCCTAAAATAATTACTTTTTCGATTATTTTATACATAAATGGATGTTATTTTGGAGAATCATTTCCAGTCAGTCACACATAAATATCATATATAAACCATCTAGTGTAATTTGGATTACCTAACTTTTATTATCATAAGTTTAATAATGTTCTCAATAAAAATCTGCATTATAGACCTACTGATTTGTCTAGTATTAAATAATTCAGAAGTGTATTTCAACCATTTATTAATAAAATATACAGATTTTTCGTGTACATTTTACATTTGACCCACTGTCCTCTTGCTGCATGTCCTTTTTTCATATTTCAGTTCTTGAATAACTTTGTCTTATAACAGAAAATTATAAATAGCAAAATTAAATATAAATAATTTGTTAAATAAACTACATTGTACTTGAAAAAAAAGATTGAAATACTTATTCATATCTGAAAATGTTTAAACAACTTCAAACTTGTGTTTAAGTAACTTTAAAATTTGCAAAATCATTCTCATTTTTTCATTCAAAATTGTAGGGTTGCTTTTATATCAGTGAGAGGTTATATAAGTGTCTGTAAGAGAGGGAGTAAGTGTCACTGTGTTTGCTTATCTTAATTGGCTAATTAATTGACTGAGACATCCCTGATCTGCAGATAACGAGGTGTAAACTGTGAACTACCTAGTGTTTAACTTTTATAATTTAAAGATCAACAATATTATTAAAACAATTAATAGCTCTCAAAACACTTACTTCAATACAGAATGAAATTGTGCTATTAGTTTAATTACTTAAAGACATTTAATTTACATGTTTACTACTAAGAGTTCTAATTTACTTATTTTTTTTGTAAGAAGACACGTACAGGAATGGTTAATGTGTACTGTCAACATACGGGCAGCCCAAATACTTCTAATGAAGTAATTCACAATAAAATATTAAATAATTTTTGCAACAAGTCAATACATATGGGGGTTTAGATCCAAGGTTGAAAGGAATAATTAATTCCTTGGCATATTTTATTGTAGGAATAATGTCTCCACTTTCCATGGTAGAGAATCCCTCATTTGGGCATTTAGTGAGAATGTTAGCCAGAATAAACCTAAAAATAATCTGCACTGAAACTGCAGGAACACATTCAAACTTCAATGGATATCATCAACATTACCATTTAAATAATTTTTGCTTTGATATTTGAAGGGATAAAAACTTGGAAGTAATCAATTAATAATCGATTACATCTTCCAAAGTAATCGATTACAGGACAAAAATGAGTGCTTCATGAAACGCGCTTCATGAAATATGCCTACGTGACAAGTCTGTGTGATTTACACACCAATAACTAACACAAAACTTAAAAAAACATTTGTGATTTTCCGTTGCTTACAGAGAGTACGTAATGCAATGACGTAACACGTTTGAAACAGAAATTTTGAAAGTCAGAAGTCTGAAGTTTTTATTGTGGAAAAAAATACCCCCAAAAATATTCCACCCTCTACCTTGATTTTAAGTATAACCTATTAGAATCAATCTATGGAGTGAAATTATATATACAGCTATGGTCCATTTGTGAAGTATAGTCATAAACATGTTCTATAAATAGCAGCTGTCAAGAAATGTTTAGGTCCATGTTTATGACGCCACAATGTGAAAATGACGTCAATAGGTAGATGATTTGTGACAAAAAATGGGTGACTCAGTTTTACTCGAGCATGGAACGGCTGTAAATTTTAACGTATATCTTGGAAATTCCTTTGCAGCGGCATATAAGAATTTGTACAATGTTAATGAAGACAAAGAACTTGCAAGAAGTTCAATCATTACTGACTGTTTTAGTGAAGGAAGGGAGATGGTTAAAAATGATGTCTGTTCTGGTGCCCATTGAAAGTATGCTGGGAAAGAGATGTATCCGTAGTTGAGCAATCTGTTATGGAAGATCGTCAAGTTACAGTTAGAAAGGTAGTTCAATATCTTAACAATAAAATAATTATTAAATCCCTAAAATATCATTTACTTTAGATTTTAAACATTTCAGATATGATAAAGAGAACGCGCCTATACTTGATTCACATTAAAAAAAAAAACGACGCATCCAGGACAGAGGACACATGTTGTGCTGGTCACCATGCTCATTCTGGTGAATGATGTCCCTATCCACCCATCCTATTGCCGAGACGTGACCGCCTAGACCACGTGTTTCGCGCATGGGCAGAACGGTGGCAGATGTGCATTGAAACCGGAGAGGACTACTTTAATTAAAAAGTAATACATACTGAAACCTAATTTTATTTCTTTTATGGAAGTAAAGCAATTAGTTCGCGAACTTTTTGATCACCCCTCGTATATCTATATATGTATTGTATGTTATTTTGATATTTTTCCTGACCATGCACTTTTCCATAAACACTAAACAGCGCCTAACAATTTGCGCGAAATCCGTTTGAATGAAAAAAAAAAGCACGGAACTTGTAATAGAATACATTGGAACAAGAATTATCAGGTTGTGCGAAAAAAATTGACATTCAAATACAAGATACAATATATTTTATTGACAAATGAAGGGCTCCGGAAGGCACTGTAACACATAAAAGTACAATTTAAATATTATTTCACAACAGAAATTGAATTTTAATAAAAAACAATAATACAGCATATTTTTATAAATAATTATAATCAAATTACATTGTGTGTAGTGTCCATGATCGTAAGATAGTACATACATGTTATAGTAAATGTTAATACATGTATATGTATTTATACATTTAAATGTTCTTTTGTATTTCAAAAATAAATTTCCAAAACATGCATGTTCATGAAAATATGTGTATTAAATTATTAATATATTAGTTTTCTTACTGTTTTAAAAAAATCACATTGAGAGCATACTCTTAATTCAGGGGGAAGTCCTGTATATCTTCCCTTTTCAATATTTAATTGATGTGCAGCTGTAGAGTTTAGTTATACTTTTCCTCCGATCAAAGTTACTAGTATTGAGATAGTGTTCCCTTCCAAAGTTATTTTTAATCTAATATAAGTTCTTAGTTTGAGGTCGAGCACTGGCAATCTTTTTTTTTGGGGGGGGGGGTTGTCCCCCACCCACCACCCCCACTTTTGAAACCGTTGCTACGGGCCTGTACTAATGCTTGATGATTTCTTTTATTAAATAAATAGGGACCCCCAACATTGTTTGGATGCATGCTTACCATGGTGGTTCATTTTGAAGGAAAAGGTTTTTAGATACTGAATATGCTTCTCTGAGTAAGACAAAAGATGGATGTAATGTTTCAAATTGAAACCAATAATTTAACATGGCTTTAATAATTTCACTTTTTCCATTTTCTTTTTTTTTTTTTTTAAATACAATTTATGATTTTAAGATCTCCCAGAATGGGTGTGAGAAAGCTATAAAAGCAACTAGTTTTAAAATAATAAAATTAAGATTGAAAAGGTTGGTAGGACAAGTAAATTTTATTTGGAATTTGTTACAGCTGCGAATGACACAAAGATTACTTTTTGACACCACATTTGTTATGAAGTCCGTCACTGCACGTACCGTGCAGCGTCTGCAGAAATCATCGGCATCAGCACGTGATTCATGAAGATCAAGAGTATCAGCACGTGGAAAGTTTGCATCCTTTTATCACAGATCATTGAACAGATGCAATTCTAGGTATATATTATATTTGTCTTCTTCATCCTGAAAAAAAAAAATCATTAACATTCCCATTCTTTTCCTCTGATTTTGCATATCCATTAGTTACTTAAAGTGGGTTAAACAAATGCACTGAAAATAACGCAGTGCCATTCCTTTTTATCTTGAAATATGTACAGTTTTGAAATGAAAATGCTTCATACCTTTTCTACATGTATCTTTAAATGGATTTCATATCAAAAGTGAAGTGCGTTTTCTTTGGAATCTTTCTTGTCCAAATACTCTAAAATGCTTCATTCTTTAGGTCGATCAAATGCTTTACATGAAAATTTCTTTATGTATTTTCAATAGGGAATTATTTTAAATATCGCCATCTTTACTCGTATGTGGCTGTTGCCACAAGAGCAGCTGATGTGGGCTAAGGGCAATAACTCGTGTTGCAAACTCTCCGACTTGAGGGGAAAAGATTATACCAAGTTGTAAATGTTTAATTTATTTAATATACTTATGTAAAGTTGTAGATTAGATGTTGACCATTCCTGCAATTATAAGAAAAATGCTTGTTTTGAAAGTTTTTTTTTTGTCGCAAAGTTATCCTTTCGTCTGATCCTATTCCGGAAATAAAATATTTGATCGATTTGGAATCTAAATTACGTAGACTCCTTCATTTCCTTTATGTTGTCATTCTGGCAGAAAATGGAATAAATATTCTCTTGCATCTGATTTAGGGTAAGATATATGCTTTAGAAGAGGGGAGATGAATAGAATTCTGTGTTAAACATTGTATATCATTAATGTGCTTTTCAATCAATATCAAATACCTATGGTAAGTTACAATGATGCATTACAAGTAAGATGTCAGCTTGTCCTTCATTGACATCTCTCTGATGTTTTAATCAGCATGATCAGTGGGTCTCAAAAAATTACCTTCCCGAGTATTTTAACGGGATTGTAATTGAAACTGGTATGTTACCGGCTTTGTGTTTAATTTTTGCCAGTATCGAATGATTTTTGCATTACGTATTATATAGAAAAACAGCGACAGGTTAAAAAATCTTATTAAACAGGGATGTATATATATACGTCCCTGATCTTACTAAGTAAATACAATGCAATATTCTACGCATGTGTAGTTCAAAGTTTTTATAATTTAAAACAATGTCACAGATTTTAACACATGCAAGTGAAAGTTATTGAAAATGAAAGCAACTAGATAAAAAATTTTAGAGTGTTGTGAACCCAGACTGATTGAATTAAGTATTCCGGATTGAGTACATAAGTAACATTAAGGATATAATGTAACAAATTTAATATTAGATTAAATGTTAATAAACATTTGAATGAAATTATGACACTCAAATAAACCCCAAGTTTTTCTAATTTCAGTTCATTAATTTCATAAGTTTGAAAAGAGTCAATTAACAGTTATACACAAACAGGAAACATACCATTAATTTGAAAAGCATAGAAGTACAATTAATAGAACAACCAAGAACATTTAGAACTCCAATCATGTAAGTCATGCACAAAATGTACCAAAAAAAACCCTGATTCGCTACTGGTATTAGTAAAATGACTGTAATTGAGCATATTCTTCTCCTTTTCATTTGACAGAATTCATTTGTATGATTTGTCCCAAATCTTTTTAGTGACACAGTGTTTTCCTAAGAACTGGCCAACCGGCCAAATTGACCACTTCAGTTGATAAAAATGCTACTTTGAAATTTAAAAAAAATCAAAATTTAACTGTTGCAAGGTCCACTAACCAAAGCCTGTTACAACTGATCTCAAACCCTTTACTTTGAAATAAAGAAAAAACACTGAGTGGTGTATTGTGAGTGTCTTGAGACTTCAGAGGTATGAGGTAAAATTTGTCAATGATGTCCAATGGTTAAACCGTTAAAGTGAGTGCAGCCAGCTTTGTTCATTTTACCATCTTTATCTCTCAATTGAAAGATTTACCCATTCATTTTAATAAGTTAAAAAATTAAACATATCCTCATTTCCTATATGTGGCCACCCAGTACTTACTGGCTTTTACCAATCATGGCTTATTTAAAGATAGTGTGGATATTTAGTGTTGCTAACAAATAAGATGAAGTAAAGAAACACACATATTTATCAAGATATATGTTTTAAACATACATGTAGCTATCATATGTTTATATGTATATGATTCATATATATTTCATTGAATTCACTTTATTTGATTCATAAGGCAAAAAAAATAATAGTCTCGTTTCCTGCTACCTGACTGACCCTATTTTTTTGTGCCCGACCCTAAAGTTTTTTTTTTCAGTTTCGGAAGAAAAAAAAATGGGAATTTCCAGAATTTCATTGTTCTGTCACTGTAATTGGTTTCCGATTTAACAAAAACAAGCATTTCATGAAATTCTATGTTTTAGATATGAACTTGCATAAAATACCACTTGAGTTGTGCATCAAAAGACATGAAATTTAATTTTAAAAGACAATATTGACCTGTGACTTATTTAATTTGATCTTGTATTCGTTCATATCCAAAAAATGCCATCGGAAAAAATAAAATAAAATTATTTTCCTACCTACCTACCCTATTTTTTTCAGGCTGGTAGCAGGAAACAAGACTATCATTTTTGGCTTTATTTCTGTATAAAATCATTGTGATCTAACAACTGTTAATATGAAAATATCATATGACCAACATCCACTGTATAAAGGCGTAAACCTGATAAAATATGCTATACACTTACAGTACATGTATTTAAAATAATTTTGAAGTATATTTTATGAATTCTAATGGTTAAAAATATATACCCGGTAAGCAAACATTTAAGTGACTAAAGATGCTACAGGTTATGTGCTGCTGCAAGTTAAAACTTTAAATTACCGTCCTTTCTTACAATTGTTTTAAAATCAAACTTCATCAGCATTTATCATTCTCATTATTAAGGGTATGATTGACAAATGCAAAATGAAGTAAGCTGAAGCATTAAACAAGGAAGATGTTTGGCCTAAATGGCCTGAGTAAGGTGAAGAGGTTGATACTGGGGATGTTCGTCCTCCTCATTGTAGATTTAATATGGGTTGCATCTTCAGAAGTGACTGAGGTAAGTGAATATATCAATATTCTATTCTTCCTTAATCGGTTAATGCATCCCCATAAAAATAGTCACTTCATTGTTTATCTTTTGGACTGACATTTAGAAAAATGGAAATCAATATTTCAATTTTTTTCTGTTTTTGCTTGATGGATTACTGATTTGGAACACCAGACCTGTAAAATTTGGGCAAACCCCTACATGAAAATTTTAATAGATATTATTACATGTAACATGTTTGATGGAACACTGCTTTTCTTTGTTTACAGAACTATGTTAAGAGTCAGTGTACTTTATAATTTATCAAAATAATGGTACATTGTATTATGATGTCAGATAACAATGGTTTAAAATACTTTTTAATTATATCTTGCAATTGCAATTTGCCTTTGCAGTATATATTCAAAGACACTCACTATGACAAACCATTCTTCACTACTTATATCAAGACCAGCATGTTTAGCATTTATCTCCTTGGATTTATATTCTTTGAGCCATGGAGAATGCAGTGCAGAAAATCTGGCACAGTAAGTAACATGTTATGACATAACACCTGCAAAGTATGTTTCAATTTTAAGTAAAGTAATTTTATAAACCAGGAAACATGGGCTTGTGAAACCTGGATTAAATATGAAAAACATTTTTTGTTTAAAGTGACACTGTGACTGAAAAGGGGAAAACTGACAAAAGTAGAATTTTTGGATGACACATGCAAATTTTATTCAATTCTTGAAGATATTAGGTTTCAGAAAATTACAGGTTTCAGAACCTAAAAATCTACTTTTTTGGAGAAAAATAAAAGTAAAAAAAATTTCTGTTTGCCCCAACACAAAAATATTGCTTCATTTTTTCTTCTTTATTGTACACATGCGCAGAAAAGTTGAAGAATTTACCATGGTGTCAATTCCATAGATATAAATATTTCTATATTTAGGATATAGGACCAAGGATTTTGATACAATCTTCAATAAAGATGATCAGAACTTATTTCTCACTTCTGTTTGCTCCAATTCAATGTTGTTTACAAGTTTCATGCTAAAAATAAAAGTCGCTCGACCTTGACATTGACGATAACAACAAAGCGGTAGATACAACCTTTGTTTTTCCGGCACTTATATTTTGCAGTTCTTTTCTTGCTTTACAGTGCAGTTGAGTTGTTGAAACTTCGTTTTAGTCATATTTCACATAAATCTTTTGTTTTATGATACATTTTTAATTTGCAGATAAATTCCACCCTGACAATCAATAACAGTGAAGATGATAGAGACACTACACAGGATGCCTTGGTGAGACTTCTACATCTTATTTTATAGCACATATTGAAGAAGATGTATTGATTTCATTATTCACTGTCAGAGACAAGCATTTAAGGTTGAGTACAATGATGCCCACATTATTTTACATTACAATAAACCTAATCTTTGTTTTCCACAGTCCGAACCCCAGTACGTTCCTGCCAAATTTGATGACAAAGCCAGTGGAACAGAATCAGATGATTGTATGTTAACTTACAGATTCACAAAAAATGTACTGTTTAAAAATAATTTAACCATATTTTACTGAATTTTTAGTTTTGTTATTGTCATTTCAGCTACCTCATTAAATCGTTCCGTGAGATTTAGCAAGATAAATGAAGTTCGACAACTCTCAGGTAATTTTTTTCTCCAGTTTTATTTTTAAAAAATTGACAATGTTAAAATACTTTGTACATAATTTGCTTCTGTACTTTATCTTTAACAATTTTTTTTTATCTTTGTAGAAACCTATGCTGAAGATGCTGTGATAGCCCGGCTCTCTTATTCTGCATCATTACGGGCAGAAGAATCTCGTTTACGTGCCATGTCCAAGCTCACTGTAAAACAAGTAGCTAAACTGGCACTGTTGTTCTGTGTGTTGGTAAGTCTGTTGAAAAGTGCAATGAGCAATGACAACAATCAAGGATGTAATAATTTCCAAAAAAAAAACTTTTAAAGTGATCTTCACTCTGGGATGGATACTATGTACCATTTAACCATAAGCAAGTTAGATTTACTAGCAAAATTGTATGTTATATCATAAATGTATAAATGTTATGAAGCTGGTAATAAAGAGTAAAACTTGCACAATTAACTTTGGTGTCTACATTCAGGTTAACCTCTAAGACAGGTGTAAGTACATATATATTAATTTTTTTGCAGTGGTTTGTGGGGAATTTTTCATACCAGGAAGCCCTGAGGGACACTGAGGCGGGCATTGTGAATGTCCTATCCTCGACATCAGGTCTTTTCACCCTCATCTGTGCAGCTCTGTACCCCAGCTCCAGTGCTGACAGATTCACCCTCTCCAAACTATTTGCAGTTTTTCTCAGGTAAGATTTTAGTCTTATTTAGTGCTAAATTAAACCAGAGAACATTGTTTGACTGTTTGTGTAAATTTTGTTCTGTATTTAAGAAAGAAATAATAAAATCATGATCTCTACAGTCTTCACCACTGTACATCTAATATGTCAATAATTCTATTTAAATTTGTTTATATAGTGGGTTTTTTTTTTATACGATCAAACTTTACGATCAAACTCCTCAAGTAGAAAATTATTTATTTATTTATACTAAGGTTTCATATACATGTATTCTTGCAGTATAACATTATTAAATCTCATTCAAGTCAAGGCTCCTAATTTATGTTACAAGGACTTTCTTTCTGACTGTGTGTCTTTTCTACAGTATTGGAGGGATAGTTATGGTCAGTATAGCTGACCTTTCATTTGAGGACAAGATTCCTGTTGGGGCATTGTGGGCCCTGTGTGGCTCCATGTTGTACGCTCTTTATCTCGTTTCCCTGCGACGGCGGGTCGACCATGAAGATAAGCTGGATATTACCATGTTCTTTGGTAAAACTCTAAATATTTTGCAGTTAATGATTTATTTTAAGAAAATTGCACCCTTTGATCTGATAATTGTATTGTGTATGATGAATTTTATCAAATAAAGTGATTACCGGTAACCAAAAAAAATTAAAAATTGATTGCTTAATAGAAAAATGTTATGATTTAGGTAGATGATAGAATTCCATTTAAGGAGAAAAGAAATTAGTTCAGAAATGGACCAAAAGTTTTATTTCTGATTAAATGCCCCAATTTTAACTTTGTAATGTGTAGCATTCCCAGCAAGAAACTGATTGACTTTGTCATCTTTTAGGTTTTGTTGGACTGTTTTGCATTCTTCTTCTGTGGCCCGGATTTTTCATTCTTCACTTCAGCGGGACTGAGGTCTTTACTCTGCCAAATTCTCGCCAGTGGTTGTTCATTACTATCAATGGTTTGATTGGAACAGTATTGTCAGAAGTTTTGTGGCTTTGGTAAGAGTATACTTCTATTTCTCTTTAGAGTAATTTTTCACTTTTCAATAAATGACAAACTTCTCATTCATTGATTTGATTTGATCAAAGAACAATTTTTCTAGGTAATAAACTGGATCCTCTTGAATGTAGAGGTATTTTATGTGTTTATTTCTATTTTAGGGGATGTTTCCTGACTTCATCTCTGATTGCAACTCTTGCTCTAAGCTTGACCATTCCTTTAACCATGCTGGCTGATGTAATATGGAAAGGGGTAAGAATATTTTTGTAACCCTCTTTATATATTTTTTTTTTTCAGGGAAGGTCCATTAAAAATATAATGGTGAGTATTCAGGCTGAACATTTATTGAGCAAAGTTGCAACTTGGAAAGAGGTCAAAGATTTGAGAGAGGAGATGTATTTCTAAAGTACATACACGTAGTGAATGCTCTTGGGGATGAATTTCCTGGAATTAAATTCTTGAGCAGGTCTAGACAATTTCCCAGTGTAGAATTATTATTGAAAATTGTCATACCATGGCATCTGGAAATTGTCTAGACCTGTTTAATGTAATCAGTATCATTGACAATACCTCTATAAAAATTGAAATGCTGCTGAAGTTGAGAAAAAAATCTCAAGATCCTTAAAGTTCATAATCTCAGAGGTTTACCATTATTTGTCAGCTTTTTGTAAATGTATTAGGCCAGAATGTAGTATTAATTTTTTTCTCTAAGCTCCATCAAATGTACACATTTTTAAATTACATCAGACCTGTTTACTCTTACGATTTCGCCATATTTGTACGGATTTTGAGTCTAAAATACGCCTCACGTTTTGCTATTATGAAAATATGGAAATCAAAAATCCGTTCGTTTGGATTTTAGCAGTTATGATTTCATTATAATATGTCTTAGTTTGACGCTTTTTAATCGCTAAAAAAGAGAAAGATATCAAACACTTAAGTGATGTCAGGGTGCCAAAACACGGCGGATAAAAAAAATGATAGAAACCCCTCGAAAGAAAGCAAGGTCTGATTTTTTAAAATTATTATTATGGTTATTAAACCATGTTCTGGTAATCAGAAATGTAGTTTTTCTCTAGTAATATATGTAAAATCGATGGAAAGTGAAATCTTACGGGCAAATGCCAAATCTTACTGACAAATCTAATAAAAAATACTGAGAGACAACAATATGAGTAAACAGGTCTGTTACATCTGTGTGACTGGAATCGGTGTTTTGATTAAATCTTAAGCTTCCAATTATTTGACCCCTCCGAGTCCTTAATTTGAGGGGTCAGTCCCTTTTTCTTGAAATCAAGTAAATTTTTAATTTCTGATAAATGTCATTAACATTATAAATAGCAACTCAATATACATGAAAGATCAAAGGATTTGATCTATATAACATAGTAAAAAAAAATATCATTGATCTCTGTTACTAATGTACATGTACATGCATCAATACATTTTAGGTGACATACAACTGGTTGTTTTATGTGGGATCTGTTCCTGTGTTCTTGGCATTTTTTGCTGTCAGTCTTCTGACACATTATGAAACATGGGATCCTGTTTTACTGTGCTTCAAGAAGGTTTTACATTGCTTCTGTCGACGGAGATTACTGCCCAGGTTAGTTAAATACCTTAAATCATCAATCCAATTTGTCATTTTTCTGTCTATTTATACATTACAGTGAATCAACTCTTTTTACAGTCATTGATACAGTATTTCTAATGTATTGCTTGATTATAAAAGTCCTTGAAGTTCTATAAGGCATGCCGTAAATAGAAAATAATATATTCCTTTTTCCATGTCACATTCTGCATCAGCCCGAGACAACAATATCAGCCAGAGGGCCAAAGGCCCGAGGGCTGATAATGATACTGGTTGAAGGCTAATACAGGATGTGACATGGAAAAGTTATGTTTATTAGATTCTGAGTAATAAAATATACAGTACACTTCTACTTGAGCAAATACAAATAAATAATCACTGACTAGCTTATTGTATCAAAGAACAGTTATTTAATTAATAATTAAAATTAAGAGGATGTGAATGAAAAAAAAAATAGTTGAATTATCACAAGTACTGTTTTCAAAGTTTTATCTACATGGCATGTGATATAAATCTGTATCAGTCCTGATCCATAGAAGCCCTACAGGATCTATATCATCCTTGGAAGCTGATATGGTTGTTGTGACCTAGCTCAGGCATATCACATTTTGCAAAAAAATAAAAAAAAATATTGCTTATTACTAAGTATGTAATAACACCAGATTATGGGTTAAGAAAGTTTTCTGAGTAAGAGAGACAGAAAAGAGATGGAAATTTGATATTCTTTTCCTGTAATATGCAGTATTTATTCTTCTGACAAAGACTATGGTATGTTTATACTCCAACATGAAATGGTCTGGGAACTATATTCAAGAGCTTTACAATAAATTACATTGTATAGCACTCGTTCTATGATACATGTGTCATGTATTTTTGCTTCTGTTGAGGGATGAGAACAAAACTCTAAATGTACTCCATAAACAGAAATATTATGTACTTTCATAGCAATATTTATCACATCACATCACACAATCATTTTGTACAAGTTCTGACTTTAGACATGAATGCAACTGTCTTATATTTTTCCCTTATAAGTTTTGAAGAAGAGCATTGTTGCATGGTGGTTTTTGAAAGGGGGGTGGGGGGTATTTTACTATGACATTATTGTTGAATGGTGGTGAATGAGGGTGGGGGTTACTCTGCTGGGCTACATCTAGTAATATGTTTCTGAATTCTGTTTATATAATTATTCTAAAGTTGAAGTTGTCAATGTGATCTACAAAGCATGGTAAAATATGCTTATTTGGTTTATCAAACAGTACAGTCCAGGAATGAATTATACTTTGTGATTTTAATTGCCCTTGTCTGTTGAGTTGATACATAATAGAATATATTTATTGCAGCAATTTGAAAAGCTTGCAGTTTATCCATTTACTGCAACAGATTTAATACCTTACAGGCATTTTACATATGCTTCAGATAAATTCAAATTATGTTATATTTTCATCTACAGTTTTGACAATGAGCGGTGACATGTTTAGGTTTATATCAATCCAAACTGTTTAACAATGATGTATATAGCATTCATTTCACATCATGACCAGAGCTACATATGTAGCATTGGAAAAGTAAAACAATTCACAGAGCTTAGTCCAAGCATCATTTTTTTCCCTCTTTGATTGTGAGGTTAGGTCAACATCATTTCATTGTTTGTCAACAATAACTGTAAGTGAAAATATACCAAAACAAAACATTTCACAAAATTCTTGAACACAGCAAGTACAGTTGTAGTTTTACATTATAGTATAGTTTTACATTACCTGGTATTTTAGGATTTGTCTGTAAAGATATTTTACCACAATATTCCTCAATTTACAGAACTGGAAGCAATTGCGTTCAAATTAGGTATTCATTTTTTTTTAGCTAATTTGCAGTTCAAGGTGTTCTGATAGCTGGTCCCTGCAGCTAATCCTCTTGCTCTTTCAGTACTTCTGAAGCTTTTGAAATTAAAACATTTGCACAAAATTTGACTTTTAACTCCTATGTGTTGAGGTTCATGCTTTTGTAGAACATTGTTGATTTTGCCAAGTGTGATAGCACCAAGTCGAGTTTCCCTTCTTTCACTATTAGAGAAATGTCAAAATCTTTGAAGTATTCATAATTGCATTTTAAACTGAATAAATATACAGTCAAACCTCCTTATCTCAAACACAAGTGGACCTAGAAAAAACTGAGAAATCCAAGAATTCAATTAAAATACATATAGACAGATTGGTTGGGATTTCCAGCTCACTTTGATATATCCATCCCATGGTATTCAAGAAAGTGGTGTTGGAGATACCGAAGTTTAACTGTATACATGTATTAATCAATTATATTATTACTATTTTGTGATAGTATGGAGACTCTTTGTTTTGTTCTTTTTTTATTTGTTGCTTTTAAATAATAAATAGGAAAAAGTTTAGTGATAACTCTTTTTTTTCTGAAAATCCCAGTATGTTGAATTTGAAACTTTCTTTGAATAATATATATATATATATATATATATATATATATATATATATATATATATATATATATATATATACATGTATATACAGACATGTATCTAGCTAAATAAAATTTCTGAAGAAAAAAAAAAGTCAAATTGTATGCTTCATCAAATTATCAAAAAATATAGGAATATTCATACTGTGTATATAATATAATTATATACTTTTTCTATTATAGAGTACGAGAAATGGACAGGGAACAGAGTGAGAGTCTAATAGAAAACAATTCCTGAATGAAGATACCCCACAGTCTGTGATCTGGTCATTTTGTTTGTTTATTTTTTGTGTTACAGATTGTTTATGACTAACACTTGTTTATTTAATACTATCCTAAAAAAAAAATTTAAGCTTTAGTCAATGCAATTTATTTTACATTGTTTTGATTTTTTTTTCTTTTTTGCAAATCTAATCTCGAAAAAGCTTAAGATTATTATTATTTTCAAAAATAGTAGTCATTCACTGAATAAATTATATATACATGTTAAGTTGGTAGAATCGCACTTGAAAAATTCTACACCACATTTCTTGTAGTTTTGATACATTAGGAAAATCACAAATCATGGAAAAGAAAATCAATGTACAGCATAACTAGATACTAGTCTTATATCAAAAGTTACCATGACTTTACAAGACAACCAAATACACATACTTCTAAATAATATGGTGAAAGGAGAGGGGGGTATTTATAAGAACCATGTATACTGCAGAGTTCCTTCCTGACAGCTTAGGATAAAATTTAACTTTTCTCTTCAGGAACTGTGTACATGTAATGTACTAAATATAATCCCTGTGGTCCTTTTCACAAAAAATCTTACGACTAAGACAAAAATTGTCCAATTCTCTAACAAGTATCTAAGCTGTAGTAGAAGTCACAAAAATCTTACATTTCTATTACAATTGCAAATAATATTTTAGAAAACAATGATTATCTTTATCAAACAAAAAAAATAGTGAGGTGTCAAATTTTTATCTAGTTGTTAGAATTTTTTGTGAAAAGGGCCACTGGAGTGTAAGTGTCAAATTATTCAATTACCTGGTATAAGATCAAAGGATAATGTATTTAAGAATGTTGAAAAAAATATAATGCACTGGATATAAAACGTATTCACTGATAGTGCACCAGCAATTTATGCACTTGTTTTATGAATTAATAACAGAAACTGTTTGTATTACACCATGTCCTTAAAACAACACAATAAGATTAGAATTAAACACAACTGTAGCAGTCTCCTGGGTATGATGAAGTCCTTTTCTTTTCTTTTTTTGTTTTTGTTTTAGAAATAGCAGGAACAGTTTTCATTTTCAAACTATGTACATGTACTTGTACATGTATTGTGAGCTCATTTTGGCAAAAACTACATTTGTTATAGAGAAACTTTATTGTTTGTTGGTGAGAATGTGTTGTAAAATGTATAATTTTTATTTGAATTCAAATTTAATATTTTTCATATTCAGGGGGAGCAAAAAAATTCATTCCATAAAATTCTTTTGTTATTCAATTATTGTGAATAAATGTAATCTGAATTGTTATGTTTGGAAAAAATTCAAATGGCTGAGACATATAAGTTTAAATAATATGCATGTATCTCTATACACTTAATATACTCTATTTCTCCATGCAGGACTGAATAAATACCTATTTAAAATGTAGATAAATATATGCATAATTAATTAATTATAATTATTCATATCAGATGTAGTTCTAAGATTGTGATATTTGTTTTGATTAACTATATTTAAGATCAGTTGTGCAATATTCTATAATGAAAAAGACTATGTTCATACAGGCACAGTTGTTGAGAAAACTGTTAAATCTGATAACTTATGTAAATGCTAAACACTAATCTTTTTTGCTGAGGCTTGCTACTCTGAGGGTTAAGATACATAATACTTTGTACTTATAAATCATGAAATAAAGGAAATTAAGTTTTATATTGGCAAATCATTGTTTTTGTATTAAAGATGTCCATCCCTGGGTTATTGTACTTGGCCATGTTTTTACCTCTACTCCATAAAAAGGTCTCAAAAATCACCAAATAGATTGTCTATTTGTGATAATTTGTCAAAACTCAAACAGTATTTCTCAAGTAATATTGACACATGTTTCAGTTTTGGGCCACAAATCCAGGTTTCAATAAAATACAGATATGCCATTATAGAATAAAAAATATATATAAATTATATGCTGATTTTTAGTTACAAATGGTATTGTCTTATTTTAAGTTTTAAAGCATTTTTAAATGCAAGTTGCTAAGGAGGGGATTACAAAGGGATCCTTCAACCCCCCTTTTTTGTGCCCCCACCACAAAATGGCCAGGGCATACAGTATTACCCTGTTCCGTCATTGTCATTCCGTCATCATTGAGTTTCCGTTCATTATCTCGGCAACAGTTGCACACATTAACTCAAATTTGACATATGGATACGTGATAGGATTACGCAGGTCAAGTTCGAATTTGGTCATGGTCCGATGATTTTTGACAGAGTTATTCCTCTTGAACTTAGAATAATGAAATTTTCAGTTTCCACTCTCAAACTTTTGTAAGGATGTATGTACATGTATGGAATTGCATATGCAGGTATTAAGGTGGAAATTGCATATGCAGGTATTTTACCAAAAATACGGGTCAAGTTCGAATTTGGTCCTGGTCCAATGATTTTTGACGGAGGCATTAGTCTTGAACTTACAAAAAAAAAATTCAGTTTCCGCTCTTTTAATTTTGTAGGAATGTATGTATAAGGTTGAAATTGCATGTGCAGGTATTTTACCAGATAATACAGGTCAAGTTTGAATGTGGTCTTGGTCTGATGATTTTTGACAGAGTTATCCCTCTTGAACAAAAATATAAATTTCCGCTCTTTGACTTTTCTAGGGATCTACGTATAAGGTTGGAAGATATACCAGGAAATACAGGTCAAGTTAAAATTTAGTTGTGGTTCGATGATTTTTGACAGGGTTATCCCTCTTGAACTTAAAAAAATTCAGTTTCCGCTCTCTAGTTTTTGTGGGGATGTATGCATATACGGTTGAAATTGCATATGCAGGTATTTTACCAGAAAATACAGGTCAATTTCAAATTTGGACGTGGTCCGATGATTTTTTACAGTTATCCCCCTTAAAAATGGCTACCTGCTGGGGCATTCGTGACGTTACTACACATCTAGTTTAAGAATGCTATACAAAACAAACTTTACATATGGCAACAGTACTGTACTGTACATTTCACTTGCAAAGGTAGACAAATTGTTTTTATCTTTTCAAATCAGCAATAATACATGTATTGACATAATTGCAGAATCACACAAATGGCTGAAAAATAAAATGTGAATCATATCTAAAGCTAGTTTTTGCAATGGAAGTGTTAAATTTTTTAGAGTTGCTGTTCCTGGCATATTCAATGATAATTTCAGTTCCCTTGGTGAACTGATGGCATTTTTTTAAAAATTAATTTCATTGGAAGATCTTGAAGGGTGTATAGATAAAACAGGCCAAAACTTCCTTGCTATTTACTAAAACTTGGGGTCTCAATCTAAATGGTTCAATATCATTAAGGACCGTTTTACAAATCTATCAGCAGGTTTTATTTGAAAGGTCCAATATTCCGTTATGGCACAGGTAGGATACCTGCTGGGGCATTCGTGACGTTACTACACATCTAGTTTAAGAATGCTATACAAAACAAACTTTACATATCCTACCTGTGCCATAACGGAATATTGGACCTTTCAAATAAAACCTGCTGATAGATTTGTAAAACGGTCCTTAATGATATTGAACCATTTAGATTGAGACCCCAAGTTTTAGTAAATAGCAAGGCAGTTTTGGCCTGTTTTATCTATACACCCTTCAAGACTAGCGACAAAAATCAATGTACAGAGAAAACTTTATACACAAACGTACATCTATAATAACAACCAATTGACTACTGACACATTGAAATTATTACTGATTTTGTTGACTTCGGTACTGATAGGATTTATTTCCATGAAATACACTGAACTAAACTTCCTAAATGGATCAAGAAGTAGCATTTTAAATGCAAAACTTTACCTAGCTCTCAGGAAAATTCGGACAGACATACTAGAGAGCTAAAGATCTACCCCCCCCCCCCTCATTAACTGTGCTTTAAGCATTCTGTAGTTTACTGCAATTTTGAGGTAAAAAAAAAAGACATCAGTACAGGGGCGTCGGCAAGTATCTCACATTGGGGAGGCAAACTGGATCGGAAAGGGTTGGGGTTGGGGTCCTAACTAACTTTTTGTGACATAAACTAAATAATTAAAATTTCTGCCAAAATCTTGATATTTTTCCTTTAAGTCAATAGCTTAGAGGTATATCCTGAAAAAAAAAGAACAATTAAATAATTATGCAACAACAACCAAAAAATGCTTTATGTGTTTTAAGTAACATATACTATAAATAAAACAAAACTGGGTCATTTTTAAATAGCTAGGAGATAGTTTGTTTAAATTTGGGGGGGTTTTTTGTCCCTAAACGGCATAGAAAGAACTTTGAAGGGTTTATGACAAGGTAAAGATTAAAATACATATAATATTATACATGTACATTTATGGACTGGGTTCGAGGGCAACATGCGTTTTGTCGGACCCAAGAACCAAACAGTTTGGTTCGAGGGGTCGACAAAACGCATTTTGTCCGAGAACACAGTCAATAAATGTTTTGTTATACCTTTCATTTATTTATTTCATTATTATTTAACATGTATACATGTATGTCAAACACCAACGAATGCAAATGAGATTTAGCTGACCCCGCCTATTGTATGACGTAAGCGGTCCAACATCTCATCGACAGGTCCAACATCTCACTCCGCGGTCAAACATCGATTTTTTATGACCGCTCAGCAAAACATTGAAAATGTTAGACTTTTATTAGTATTGATTTATATAGGAACAAATTTTTAATGGTATAACAAAATTTTCTATTATTGTATAATATTTATTGTTACTTGCCGAAAGAATGCATAATTATGAAATTTGAAATGAACAGGGGGATTTATCCTCATAATACCTCCATTCTTGAAATGCAGAAATACGTTTGACATTATACATTTATTGACTGGGTTCGAGGGCAACGTGCGTTTGGCGGACCCAAGAACCAAACTGTTTGCCTGAAGCCGTTAGGGCGAAGGCAATCAGTTTGGTTCGAGGGGTCGACAAAACGCATTTTGCCCGAGAACACAGTCAATAAATGTTTTGTTATACCTTTTATTTATTTATTTATTTATTTTTTGGACATTTATGTCGAACACCGATGAATGCAAATGAGATTTAGCTGACCCCGCCCATTATGTGACGTAAGCGGTCCAACATCTCATCGACAGGTCCAATATCTCACCCCGCGGTCAAACATCGATTTTTTATGCCCGCTCAGTAAAACATTGGAAATGTTAGACTTTTATTAGTATTGATTTATATAGGAACAAATTTTTAAAGGTATAACAATATAATAAATCAACTGAAATTGTTTAAAATTGTAATTTTACCCAGTTTTTGAGTATTTTGCACTAATTTAATAGCTTACAACTACCGAGTAGATCTAATGAACACCTAATTTAAAATATTCCAATGTGGTACTTTTTTGTAGCAATCGTATCTTCTTTCCGGCTAGCTAGGAAAACATATCCGAGGTTGTTTTTCCGAGCTTGACAGAAAGATCCAGGATGGTAGTTATAGTTAAGAAAACCCACGTATTTACATGTATTATAATTTTAGGGGAAAAAAACTGATCTCTAAGTGGCATTATAAGGTCTAAGTTACTGTTACTTTTTGTGCATATATACAGGTTACACTAATGTAGCATGGCCGTAGGAACGGGGGGGGGGGATATATAGATTACTATAGAAAACATAGCTGCTATATGCTTGTGTCCCCTCAATAAAAAAAAATGTCTCACTTTTTTTTTTTTCTTATCAAGGAATTTTTGGTAGTTGATAGTGCCGCCCTCAACTAAAAATGTATGGCTGTGCCCCCCCACCCCCCCACCCCAAACTGAAATTCCTTCCTACGGGCCTGTGTAGACAACAAAACACGAAACTTCAGATCATACGTAGATGATAATAAAACGAAATTGACATGGTAAAAATTTTCTACAGTACTGTTCCAAGAATGCCCAGTATAACTGTGAAGTCGAGCATGCGTTTTCCAGTAAAAAAAAGACTAACGTTAACGTAGTTGCTAGCGCTGGAGAGTGCAAGCACTAAGCAAACGTAACCCATATTGTGCATATATGTATTTCTTCAATGCGTGTTCTGAATGCTACCTACCTATTATTCTAACGCTTCTTGACCTGTTAAAGGAAGCTTAAACCCTGCACACTGAAGAGTTCTAGTTCCATGGTTAGAGTTATCAGCCCTTATAATTAAAATTTTTCAGTGAATGAAACAGTTTGCAATAGATTATTCTTAATGATAAATTAGACCAAGATAAAGTAATTCAGTAGATTATTTGCATGTATTTTCCTTATTTACCTGGTAAACAGCAGTGATTTCTGTTCACTTAAACATCTCTTGTCTTAGACCACTTATGGCAGGCACCCTATGTTGAATATGAACTCAATACGTACACCTGACCTTCATATGATATATTTTCTTTAAGCCCAAAAAACCTTTATTTATTAGTGTTCAGAGCCTTGTTGAATAAAAAACAAATTTGTCCAGGATGTGTGTAACTATAAAAATGCCTTGATGAGGGCCCACACTATTTGAAGACCGCTCCGATTACGTTTTATTGTTCTGCTTTAGGACTAGCTAGACTAGATATATGTAGGTCAGTTCCTAGCTTATCACAAGTTGAGTAGATACCTTGCGATATTCTGTCTTTGAAATTCAATGTTTTAAGAAATAGTATACGTATTTTTTTTTTATTAAACTTGGGCCCTGTATTGCTACCTTTAGTTCTAGTTGACTATT